ACGAGGGCGGGCCAAACGTGTCGAGGCTCGGAGAGTGGACCAGGCCGACTGAAGGCCCGATGCGGGCGGACCAGTCATACTGTAGACTCAGAGAGTGGACCAGGTGGGTTGAAGGCTAGGTGCGGGCGGACCAACTGTTGGATAAGGTGTCTAAGTCCATAACTTATTTGGTATATACATGACCCGACCGGCATGGTCCATTTGGGTTGCATCTCATCCAAACTATTATGGATAATTTTATGAGAGTTATACACATATGTTTATTAATATATTATGAGTTATAATATATTAATATGAAGTTACGTTATTTAATTAGTTTTAGTCTTAAATTAATTATGAATTAATTTAGAGATTAAAAGAAAGACTAATTAGATTATGGGCTATTTGTTTTATATAGTATGGGCTAATACTCATTTGTTAATGGGCTAGGCTTATGTGGAAGTCCATGGATGATCCATGGAGCTTTTAACCCATGGATCCTTGGAAAAGGAAAAGACATGGGTTATTAGGGTTTCACCCTAACCATGCATACTATATAAGCATGCTTATGGAGCATGAAATGGAGCCTAAGAGAAAACTAGTGAACTAGTGTGTGTGTGTGTGTGCATGTGTGTGGCCGATTTTATACAAGGGGGTGTACTCTCTCAAAGTTTTCCAAGAGTTTGTGGTGTTTGTGATTCCATTTGAGGCATTCACACTATTGGTGCTTGGCCCTCAAACTCCTAAGAACCAAACTCACCAAAAGGTATGTAATCTCTTCTAACTCTTTTATGTTGAAATGTTCCCCATGCCATGTTAGATAGGTTATAAACCTTGGAAAATTATTATTTTGCATGTATTTAGACAAACATAGATCCAAGGTTTATTAGGGTTGCATGCACACTTAGGAAGTGTTAGATTGCTCAAAACCCAACACCACCCACACTGCAGACTCAAGGGACATGACTAGACTCGGAGGGTGGACCAGGTTGACTAAAGGCCCGATACGGAGGACCAGTCACATAGTAGACCCGAAATGCATGGTTGTTCTGTGATTTGTTATGATATAGCATGTTATGTGTGTATGGGAGTCAGCTACTAAGTGAATATAACGATAGTCATGAAGTAGATGGTTGACATAATGATGAGTTCTTCAGCAGCCGATGACAGGTAAAGAGTGAGAACTTGGGAGAGAATACGGAGTAATTTTAGTGTGATGAGTACGCTGTTTAGAGGTGAGTATTCTCTGGAGAGCGAGCGTGTGTAAGGGGATGGGTGATCGAGGAGGTCGAGTAGCTACTTAGGAAACCTGGGATGATCCATGTGGAAAGTATGGGTATATGTGGCAGGTAGTATGGGCCCGTACTATTGAAAATAGAGGACCCCATACTTGAAACAGAGAGAATTCCAGAGGTTCTAAGTAGCAGATTGAGGGGAGATAACGTGGTTCGGGTACCATGATCTGTAGCAGAGTGTGCTTCCATATTTACCAATTATCCCGATGTGCTTGTTCAGACTGAGAGTGGATGTGGTAGATTGTAGGGCTAGAGGGCCATGTCGGTCGAGCTTCAATGGGGGTGTACCTTGCGAGGAAAATTGAGTTAGATCCCGAAGGGTCTGACTTGAGAGCTTCCAGTTGGAGTTGCAGGACTTAAGGAGAATTGGAGATAATGCCTTGTGGAGGATTGCGATATGGGTTGAGTGATCGCCCTATGGATGAGATGTCACTTTCCGTGACGAGAATTACACTATTTCCACTTCTCATGTGGAGTGAAAGAGATAACGACCTTCCATTTTCAGAGTTTGGAGGTAATCCCCGTGGGATAGCATATAATTGCGATATTTTTACCAAAGTATTTTGTAGTATGTTTGCTGCGACGTATTTCTTATACCGTGTGTAACGACCCAAATTTTACAAAAAAAAAAAAAAAAATCATTTTTAATTAATAAAACACATTAGCATAAACCATGAAATCCAAACATAATTATTTTTAGAACAACATTCATTACATCTTTATTTAAATCATCAGAGTATCGCCAAACATCTCAGTGAAAGAGAGAGATAGAGTGTATGTCGTGCCATCACGCCTTGCCCTTGCCCTTGGGCTCAGATGTACCTGAAACAAATCAACAACCTGTAAGCAAAATGCTTAGTGAGTTCCCCATAACATACCACACAATACAGATATACATATCCTGCTAGCTAAATAAAGCTACACACATATCACATAAGCCATGCATACACAAAACTTTTAAAATTGCCATGGGCTACCCCACATGGTCTTTACATAGGATTGCCATTGACTACCCCACATGGTCTTACATCCAATGCCATGGGCTACCCCACATGGTTTTTACCTAGGACTGCCATGGGCTACCCCACATGGTCTTACATCCAATGTCATGGGCTACCCACATGGTCTTTACCTAGCACTGCCATGGGCTACCCCACATGGTCTTACATCCAATGCTATGGGCTACCCCATATAGTCTTTACCTATGACTGCCATGGGCTACCTCACATGGTCTTACATCCAATGCCACAGACTCCCCCCGAGGTCTTCATGCAAACCACACAATTACATATCATACAAAATCACAAAATGACTAACACATATATCATAATCACATAATGGGCCGACCTTGGTGCCTTAGACCCATGGGTATGGTGAGAAGACTCATCTCTGTCTGCCGAATACAAAAGATGCTCTCTTAACAGTTCGAAACCTCCCCAACAGAATAATAATAATAATCAATGTTAGGACCCAAGATTAGTCAAAAGGGAAAACCCAAACTCCAAATCCATCCATAAGGCCTAATTATCTTTCCCTTGCTATTGGGCCTAAAATCCAAGTCCACAAATTATAATGGGCCTCTTGGCCCAATAAGGACCAACTAATATATCTATAGCCCATAATTCACAGAATGCAACCAATCCCATTACCAAAATGAAGCCCAAAAGCTCAAAGGCCCAAAACAGATCCGACCTAACATTCTTCCAGATCAAGCACTTTCTCCATTAAGTGCTTAATACCCGATTCCGTTACGTCTGAAAGCCAGATCTGAGTTGTTTAATACGTCCTAAGGCATAAAGTTGTCAACTTTATGCCTTTGTATACCTCACATACACCCAAAACCTTCATTAAGACCTTTCCAGGGTCTTTAACCCATGCATGGGACCAATACTTCCACCAAGGCTCCATTTTTATGTTTCTAAACAACCAAGGGATCTCAGATATGCCATTCTCCTCTCATGGAGTTACTTAACTAGCCAAAAGAGGTCCAAAATCCAACAAAGGAACAAAACTAGAAAACCCTAGTTAGATCTAAAGATTTAAATGGAAAGGTGCAAGTTTTTTTTACATCCAAAAGCCTTGCAAGATGACCCAAATGTAGATTCTTGAAGCACCAAACTGATCCAAGCTTGCTTAGCAACTCTCCTTTTTGAAAGAACTCCAAAATGGCCACTAAAAACCTTCTTCTTAAGCTCCAACTCTCACTCACACACTAACTCAGCTGCAGGAAGACGAAATGGGGCTAAAGAGGCTGATGGGGTTTGGTCCAAGAGGCCAAGAGACGTTTAAATAGGGGTCAAGTCCGGAATTTAGGGTTTGACTTTCTGTTGCGTACGCCCGACGTACCTTTACGTACGCCCCGCGTACGTAAGGTCCCTCCGCGATCAATCATGAAAAGTACGCTAAGCGTACCCATAAGTACGCCCAACGTACTTCAAGGGTCCATTTATACCAAAAATGGAAATCTTCGAGGGTTTCGAGTCATACCTGATTTAGGGTGTTACACCGTGAAGGAGTCATCAGAGGAGACTGGGATGGTTGAGGACAAGGATATACCTTATTTGAGTATAGTAAGGCATATTTTAGCAACAATTATAGTTAATCAAGAGGAGTATATTAGGGTGGTGGCCCTCGTTGTCTACGTTGTGTATCGACGGTAAGGGTCGAGAGTCGTAACTAATTCTGGACAGTCAAGATGTCTGATGGTGTGGCGGTAGAAATTTTGGGTGACTAGAGGCAGTCACATCGAGAGGACTCCGAGGTTTTCATTTGAGATTTGGGATACTTGAAGCTATTTGGTCATTATCCGGAAGGTCATTGAGTATTATGTGGTACGTTCCATGAGTCAGGAATGGTACATCTGGTGAGCCAGTCTGTAGTGTGGTCTATTTGGTATGTCCGATGGTTCGAACTCTAAGTGGGGGAGAACTGAGTATTATGTGGGGAGGAGCCTCAATCTGATGTGGTACAAAAGTTTGGATTATGTGGTCATGTGGTAGTCAAGGCAACGTACAGAGCGAGATGATGCATGTTGCACATGCTCAGGAGAGCATGAGTGTTTTCACGGCAGGTGGCCGTTGGACAGGAATCCGATTAGGGTCCATGTTTCTTTGGGTGTGTCAATGTTGAGTTTCGAGACAGTTGGGTTGCTGAGGTTAAGATTCGACTGCTGAGAGATTGATAGTTTGGCATATAAATTGTTACATGTACTTCTTGAAGGGCAACAACTGATTTGTCAATCAACTTCAGAATCATAATGAGTAGTTTCGCATGGGCGTGATCAGAAGAGGATGAGGCTTTGGATTGTCGTTAATGTGTTCTTAGTCATGGACGTTTCCTCCATGCTTCAAATTGTAAGTTGGAGTACTTCAAGGGTTCGACTTGGTTTCCAAAGAGGCAGAAGGAAAATGGGAAACGAAAAGGAAAGAATAGGGTTGAATGTGTGGTTGAGGGGGTGGGTATTTATTTATTTATTTTTTAATTCTAAAAATGATAAACAAATAATAAAAATATAAAAAAGAAATTACTAAGAGTAAAATAGTCATTTATGTCTTTAGGGACTTATCAAGTGAAAAAAACATAATACATGGACAGTCCGATTTAATTTTTGAAAATAAAAAACTAAACATGTTTTTTGGCATGAAAGATGATTGAGTATAATTTAGTGTTAAATCTTTTTTAAACCATTAATTCATACTTAAACAAAGTTATAATCACTTTTTTTAAATGGGGCTTGGGGACATGTTGGTCCCCTTGCATCTCTACCAACTACCAAGTAAAATTATCCAAATAAAATAAAATTAAACAAAAATAAAAACGCATCTGATAAGTGATAGCCCCTCTTTCCGTCTCTCACCCCCGGCGACTGAAAACTGCACCGATCTCACTTTCCCCCACCGGATTTTCTTCTCTATTAATCACCACTGTCACTTAGGGTTTTACTAATCTCATTCAATCAACTATTAACGCCATTGATTTGATCGAATTCAGTGGAATCTGTAAGTTCGCACGTCTAACATAATCCAGTCGACCACGAGGTACTTCAATTTAATTCTATTTCGTGTCTCTTCGTTTCGTTTCTTAATCGCTGTATTTCTCAATTTCTCGGTTGTTTGTTTTCAGTATTGGTTCCCAACTTGTTTTAACTCAAGTAGAATTAATTTACTCGATAAGGAATTTAAAGTCAACGAGCAATAATCATCTTAAGCTGTCTATCTCAATCTTCAATACTCTATTGGGTTGAAATTCTCCCTGTTGATTGTCAACGTTGAAAAAAAACTTTGGATGTCGAGGCTAATAAACGTATATGTGTTTGTGGCATTGTTGGTTTGATGAGAGTCTAGGATAGTAGGATTCCACATGTATAAAACCTACATACAAATTGCATCTAGCCAGATATAGAAATTCTAATCTTTGTGTAATCGTCATAAAGTTGATGTTCGTTTTTGTTTTTCTTTAATTATCAGTGCCATGACGACAGTTGGGTTGCTGCATATTCTGGTAAATGGCAAGTGAAAGGTATGAGAATCTTGGAGCATAGAAAAGGACTTATTGATTCATGGAGAATTTAGCGACAATGATCGGCTCAAAAGGGTTAGTTAAAAGGGATGAGTTCGTAAGGATTCTTATCCAGTGTCTTTATTCTTTAGGTTATGAGAAATCTGCAGCTTGTTTGGAATCAGAATCTGGTATTTCATACAAATCGGTGGAATTTAAGTTGCTTGAATCTTCAATAATTGGTGCTGATTGGGAGGGTTGTATTGATAGCCTTTATGGGATCAAGAACATGACGGATGAACAAAGAGACACAGCTTTGTTTCTTGTTTCCCAACAGTGTTTGTTGGAGTGTTTGGGCCGAGGGGATGATTCTTTAGCTTTGTCCCTTTTGCGTAAACAAATCTCCAAATTGCAAGTGGGAAGAGAGAAAGTTCACAAGCTTGCTTTTAGTTTGTTTTCACTTGGGGAGCTTGGTTTAGATAAAGTTCATGATGATTGTGATGTTTTTCAAGAACTGAGAAGGAATCTAGTAAATGAATTGGAGAAATTGCTTCCACCACCAATCACTGTACCTGATAGAAGATTGGAACATCTGGTTGAAAGGGTGGTTGGTTCCCAAATTGATTCATGCATCTACCACAATTCTCTGGATCCAGTATCAATCTATAAGGATCATTCTTGTGGTAGGGATCAGATCCCTACAGAAACCATTCAGGTGTGTTGGTTTCAAATTGTAAATAGTTCATGCTGATCTTTTTTAATGGAGTAATCTCTTTGAAAAATTGTTGCAGATTTTGTCCGACCACAAGAATGAAGTTTGGTTTGTTCAGTTCTCTAACAATGGGGATTATTTAGCATCTTCATCAAGTGATTGTACAGCAATTATATGGAAGGTAACTATTATGTCCTTAACAAAATCGATACTCTAGAGATTCTATTCTTAGAATATTTGTTGAATTATACGTTACATATAAAAGCAGCGTAATCAAATGGGATAAGATACGAATGCATAAGTAGATTCTTTCTTCATGCACCAGAATTAGGAGACTGATTTTAAAATCCATAACACTTGTCTGTTCCATTGTTCAGGGAAGTTAACCTTCTTAACTATGCACAACAGGGGAGTTGGGCACTTAGTCTCATAGTGGCTTGAGTGTCTCCAACTGCCATTTCAGGTAAGACATATATATACATATGTCTTGAGGGAGATCAAACTTTCATGACTTTCTTGAATCTTGACTTATATCTAGGGAAATCTAAATTTAATGATCATTTTGGAGGTGGGTGCTTTTATTATATGCATAACTTATTGCTTGTATGTCCATGTAACATGTTATGTTTACTTCTTACAAAGTTACAATCCATAGAAAAAGCATGATTTTTTTTTTCCTTTTCCGAATCATATTCTTGAAAGTTTTGGTACAGATACAAGAAGATGGGAAGTTAGTTTTGAAACATAGATTATCCAGTCATCAAAACCCGGTTTCTTTTGTAATCTGGAGCCCCGATGACACAATGGTGTTGACATGTGGGAACTTAGAAGTCCTTAGGCTTTGGGATGTGGAAACAGGTACATGTAAGCACACATTTGGTGATAACAGCTTCCTTGTTAGCTCCTGTGCTTGGTTTCCAGACTCAAAGAGACTTGTGTGTGGGAGTTCAGACCCTAAAAAAGGCATCTGCATGTGGGATTGTGAAGGCAAGGAGATCAAAGCATGGAGAGGAACACGGATGCCAAAGGTGTTAGATATTGCTGTTACTCCAAATGGTGAATATCTGATTACTATTTTTTCAGATAAAGATATTCGGATACTAAACGTGGCTACAAATGCTGAAAGAGTTATCTCTGAAGAACACCCGATTACATCTCTTTCGGTTTCTGGTGACAGCAAGTATTTGATTGTTAATCTTAATAGCCAAGAGATTCATATGTGGGATGTTGAAGGGTTATGGGAAAAGCCTTTGAGATATAAGGGCCATAGGCAACATAAATATGTCATTCGTTCTTGCTTTGGTGGGGTCAATAGCACCTTTATTGCCAGTGGCAGCGAAAATTCACAGGTGAATTTACCTAACTATCCCTAACTTTCATCAGCTCATGATATCCTTAAGTTTATTCTCTGATAATTGTGAGAGCAGGTGTATATCTGGAATCGAAGTGGTTGTGATCCAATTGAGGTGCTTTCTGGTCATTCAATGACTGTAAACTGTGTGAGCTGGAATCCTAGGAGACATCAAATGCTAGCATCAGCTAGTGATGATCAAACCATTCGCATATGGGGACCAAATCCCTCACAGAAGATGCATCTGAAGGGGCTCATATGAGATATATGTAATCATAACTTGTAATTATTATCAAGTCAGAACATCTTTTTCCTCTCTGAATGTGTTGTTGACTTATTTTGGTTCTTGTGCTCTTCATGTAAAGTAACCATTTTTGCTACCTCTTTGTTTTTTTTTACTTGCTGTATCTTCTATACGTTTTGTAGTTAGACATCGATTTGGAATTTCTGGTTTCTGTGTTCACAGAACCAAAACCCATATATGATTTTAGTTACTGTTATACTAATCTGATGAATATGGATTTTTGTTGATAAACTTTCTTCATGTTGTCATATTAAGAGGTTGTAGAGTAGACCTTCAAATTGCTCGACTCCTTTAAATCTCAACTAAGCTTTTAATTTTACATAAAAATGAATTATTCAGTTTTGTATTAAAAACAACTAATTACTTAAGTACATTCAATGATGCTATAAAAATGTTTCAACTTTATCTAACGAATCATATTTACTTGTAGACTATGCAATCAAGCACAAAAAGACAGTAATTTTACTAGTATGAACGCAGTGTTGAACATGAATTCATGATCTATATTAGAGTGTTACCATTCAGTCAAACATTCACTCACTCACATAAGAGAAGGTACACCAAGCAATTAACAATATTTTATCATGAAAAGGTTTTTATATGAATTCATGATCTATATTAGAGTGTTACTATATGTGCGATTTAAGAATATCATGTACCTCTTACTCTTAGTAGTTCTTGTATCTCTTAACACTTCATGATCTCTTTCTTTGACAGTTGTGAACAATGATGAATTAAAAAAAATAGCAAGTTAAAGTTTTATAAAATAGGAATCTTAAATGATAATCATAATTTTATAATTTTTAATGTACCATAAATATAAGGATCTTAAGCGAGACAATATTTAATGACACAATGTATGTGTGTGTTTTCATGTTTCTTTGGCTGTATCCCTGACATTTGGATCAAGGTGACACAATGGACACTTGTGCACAAATCAGGCATGGGGGTTTAGAGGGGGGGGAGGGGGGCAAAGTGGGCAGCTGCACAGGGTCCAATTTTTTTCATTATATATTTTTATTTAGAAATGCAAAATTATAATAAAGATAAGGGTATTTTTTTTCTTGTTCGTCCTGAGCCTTTAAGAATATTTCATTTTTCAGGACCGGCCCTGAAATCAGGCATTGCCCTTGTCGATTAATTCTCTCTTGGCCGCACCAATATATTCGAGAAGATCAAACAAAGCAAAAAAAAAAAAAAAAAAAAAAAAAAACTGTTGGGTACAATCGTTTTTGAAGGACTATGATTCATTTAGAAAGCAAGGATGTAAGATTTAACAATTAAAGATGAACACCTACAATGGTATTTGAAGCTTAGTAACTATTATATTCTTTTGAACGAAATATAGGTCGAAGCTTAGTTACATTAATTGGGATGTTTGGATTATATTCTTAAACTTTTTTGTAATATCATGCTTCTTCGGTATTGTGGTTTTAGTTGGTTAATGGTTGATACTTGATGATGTTGAGGCATCATTTATTTAATCATGTAAGTATATTTGTGGGTTTGAAGATATTGCGACATTTATTATCTATTTTTTACCTTTTTAGGGACGATCGATTTTTAGGATGGAATCCCACAAACCGGCACGAACCCGACCCGTTTCCATTTATACAGTGTGTTTGCGAGTTTGTGTATATATAATAAATAATAAGTCGAGTCTTGTTGAATGTTTGAGTGAGCGAGAGAGAGAGAGAGAGAGAAGAAGAAGAAAGATTTGTCCCCTTTGTTTGTTTGTTGCATATCATTCAGACATCGTCCGGATTTACCTCTCTCGCTCGCTCGCTAGGGTTTCTCAATCTAAATTTCGATTCTTAAATCCAATCATAGAGTAGCCAAGGGAGATCGACTGTTAAAACCAGGGTTTCTATGTATTCGATTTCTCTGCTCCCTGTGTCTACTTCTTAAAGAAGACATCTTCAAGTTAGATTTATATGAATGGATATCATGAAGACAAATTCATACCTAGATGATCTATCATCCTCACCTTCACCAATCCATCACAAGTGAGTTCGAATTATATTTCTCCTCATAATTATATGTTAATTGAATTCAGTTTTCGTTTCTTGATGTGAAATTTTTAAGAATCTAAATTGATTGATGCTGAATTTTGATATTTTAATCGAATAGTTGACAGTAGGATATGTTGATGTAATCTGGTCGTCTGGTTTGCTTTCAACTTTTGCAACTAGGAAAGGTAGGGAATTATTGCCAGTTGGTGTATGTAATTCTTAGAAATCCAGCTAGATCTTTTCAAGGAGTGTTTGGATGTGCGATTTCAAAGTAAATATTGCTACTTTTAGAAATTCACCTGATTATTCAAATCTGATTTTTTTTTCCCCTAAATAATCAGCACACTTGAGATTGGTTACAGATTTACAGTCAGTTTAAGCTCACATCCAAGACTCCAAGTAGCCGCATGATCATGTCTTGGATCACTGGTGCTATATGATCATGTCTTAGTTGTTCCTATATTGATCTAAGTAAACTGTGATCCCTGCTATCTTTTTCTTGTTCCATGGTTGGGTTGTTTGAGGGTATAGTCTCAGATGAATTTGCTCTGTCAAATCAGCCAGTTGGAGGCTTCTTTTATTTCTCATAACTTTTGCTTGATGTTTTTCTATATAGGTTCTTACTTCTAGATTTGCATATCTTGTGTTCTAACTTTAAAACAAATGAATTGTGTATTGATGTTTAAAAATAGCATCGTGCAAGATTTGTTAGTGGTGGAATTTTTTGGATATTAGACATCTAACAGGTATATGTTCTCAGTAGTAGGAATGTGCTCCAAATGTTGGTCAAGAGAGAGATAGCTCCAAGAATAAAAAAGTATTTGCCAAGAAGACAGGGGAGTGGAACTTCTGAGCATCACCACCGGTCATTTGTTAAGCCCAAAAGTGAAAGTGCAAGGGACTCGAGGCGTGAACTTCATTCATGGTATGTCTTTTTGATGTCAACTAAAAAAAGTCAAAGTGCAAATGTATCATTTTTAATTACTAACTGTGTTTATAGGGTGGAGGCTGAGTCCTTACAGTGTTTATCAGCCAAGTATTGTTCATTAATGCCTTCACCAAGGTCGACTATCGCAGCAGCATTTAGCTCAGATGGAAAAATTCTTGCATCTACTCAGTACGTTGTTAACTGTCTGTGTAATTGTAATTTGTTTCTAGCTCCTTTTATTGTTATATTAATTGAAGTTGCTCATTTTGGGGTTGACAGCGGTGATCATACTGTGAAAATAATCGACTGCCAAACTGGGAAATGTCTAAAAGTTATGAGTGGACATCGAAGAACACCTTGGGTGGTAAGATACTAAGATAACAAATGCATCAACTCCTTTTTAGTTTTTACAGTCAGTTTCTGCTAACTTGTTCTTTGAAATTGTGACCTAATTAACTTAACATTTTACTTTCTTTTTTGTTTTTTACAGGTTAGATTCCACCCGTTGCGTCCAGAAATACTCGCGAGTGGAAGCTTAGACCATGAAGTTCGCTTATGGAATGCCAACACATCAGAATGCATAGGATCCCGTGATTTTTGTAATTACTAAACATTTTGTTTCCCTTGAGATATTGATAGACCTCCCTCCTAATAGATCAAGCAAATATAAAAAATATTAGAGGTTTACCATTTAGGATATACTGATGCATAGTCACATATAAGATTAAATATAGCACACAAAATCAGGCTTGTTACATATATCTCTTATGTCTGCTTGTCTTTGTTTATTGCAGACCGGCCTATTGCTTCCATTGCATTCCATTCAGAAGGAGAAGTGCTTGCAGTTGCTGCAGGCCATAAGGTAATGTCTGTACAAAGGTTTTTGTGTTTAACTATTTTTAATTATTTTGTTATTTTGTAAATTTAAGAGGCATAATAGTAATACTGATGGGAGTTTTTCAATTTCAGCTGTATTTATGGCAGTACAGCAGCAGAGGAGAGACCTCCTCACCTGCTATAGTATTAAGGACAAGGCGTTCTCTACGGGCTGTGCATTTCCATCCACATTCTGCTCAACTTTTGTTAACTGCTGAGGTATATATATATATATATATATATATATATATATATATATATATATTTCCATGGGTTTGTAATTAGGGTTGATACACTATGGTCGTGCTTTCAAAAAGCTACCCAGTTATAACAATTTCATCCCAATACAAAGAAAATTACATTACTATAATTGAGTAGATAGAATGTCCTAATAATAATAAAAAAAATGAAAGTACATTGCTATAGCCCTTCCCTTGTTTTAAATGGTTTGCAGGTGAACGATCTTGACTCCTCAGATTCTTCAATGGCACCCGCAACATCTCTAGGTTATCTGCATTATCCCCCTCCTGCTGTATATATGGGCAATATGCATCGCATAGACCGTTTAAGTTTAGCAGCAGAATTACCATTAATGCCCTTGCCTCTCTTCTCCTCTCCTTCAACCACAAGACTCGATTCAAGAAGGCCACAATCCTCTTCTGATCAACATCTGTTCCATGCAAATGCAAATGCAACAGTAACACAGCAACAAGTGATGGATTCTTCTTCATCTTCTATCCACACCAGCAGCAGCCAGCATAATGATAATGATAATGATAATACTGTAAATAATAACCAAGTCCAAAACATGGATATTTCGGATGTTGAAGGTGTTCCGATGTTGAGAGAGCGTGTACGTTGGGAGTTACCCTTCATGCAAGGATGGTTGATAGGTCATAACCAAGCTGCAACTGCCACGTCATCGGGTTTCCCTCTGAGATCAGGGGCAAACCCTAATCCAGAGGCTTTATACAACATGAATCAAAATGGTGGTCCAGTGGCAGTGAATGAGTCGATAGCAAACGAAGGAGTAGGAGTAGGACAGGCTGTCCCTATGATTGGTCGAATACAGTCTCAACTGTCTGCATCACTTACTGCCACAGCTGCTGCTGAGTTGCCTTGCACTGTAAAGCTAAGAATTTGGTCTCATGATTCAAACAATCCATGTGCCTCTCTCAAGCCTGAACGATGTCGCTTAGCAATACCGCATGCTGTCCTTTGCAGGTAACATTTTTTTTTTTTTAAATAAAGAAAATAAAAATAAATAAGGAGCCTGGCGGGGGTTGATGTTCGTATTACTGTATGCTGTTGCAGTGAAATGGGTGCTCATTTTTCAGCATGTGGGAGATATCTAGCTGCTTGTGTTGCGTGTGTGCTTCCTCAGTTTGAAGGCGATTCAATTTCTGGGGTACAATCACAACTTCATCATCAAGAGGGTAGGGGGCCCGGAACATCTCCTACACGCCATCCTATCTCTGCACGCCAAGTCATCTATGAACTCAGAATATATTCACTTGAGGAGGCAACGTAAGAGAGGACTATTCTTTCCATTTCCATTTCCAATTTTGTATTGTTATCATCAAAAAAAGTATGACAATTATTGATTGTACTTTGTGTAGGTTTGGTTTGGTACTTATCTCAAGGCCAATCAGAGCTGCCCACTGTTTGACATCAATCCAGGTGACATAACATGTAGTATATATTTAGTATATTTAGTATTTACAATTACAATGTTGATTGATGATTTGATGGTGCAGTTTTCACCAACTTCTGAGCACATCTTGCTTGCTTATGGGAGGCGTCATAGCTCTCTTCTGAAAAGCATTGATATCAATGGAGACGCATCTTTATCCATTTACACAGTTTTGGAGGTAAATAATAGGGTTTCAGTATTTTTGTAAATAACTGTGTTGAAAAAAAAATAGAAATGATTGAGGTTTTGAATGTTGTAGGTATATAGAGTTTCGGATATGGAAGTGGTGAGTGTGCTTCCCAGTGCAGAAGACGAGGTGAATGTCGCTTGCTTTCACCCTTTCTCTGGGGGTGGTATTGTCTATGGCACAAAGGTCTCTCTCTCTCTCTCTCTAGTGATTAGACCATTATATTCTATTTGACCATTTAAAATAGACATTTTTCCCACCATTTTTTTGATTTAGCCATTGTTATAATAATCGTAAAAAAATTATTAGTTCACTGCATAGAATGATGAAAGTAGTTTGTGATTTTTTTTTTCTTTGAAGTTTGAACATTTGGTTGACATGCATAAGGGGGTGTGTCATGTGTGTGTTGGCAGGAAGGGAAGCTTAGAATCCTTCAATTTAATGGAGGCGATGGGATGAAAATTAGCAGCAGACCTGATCAGTCGGTAGAAGCACACATGGTTGACATACAACAATAATACTACACGACATGCATGCAGGTTGTTACTTGAATACTAACTCCACCATCTTACCTTACTTATTTTCTCTCATTATTATTGAACAAGATAAGATTTGTTTATGTTTATGTTTCAGGGTGGATGTGGCTTTAAATGCTTAGTATTTGATATCACATCCAGCCTACGTAAGGTATGTAAATGTACCAATGTTATCATCATTTAAAAAAAAAAAAAAGAGAGAGAAAAATGTGGTGATTATTTGATGTTGGTGTTACAGGAACTTAGTTACACCAGCTCTCCTAGTCCTAACTGTTGAAGATGCAGATGAAGCTTAGCTATAGCTGGAATCGGTTCCTGTGGTCCCCTGCACCTTGTCTTTTTTCCTCTCTCACACTTACTTTTGACTGTTTTGTTGTATGTTTGACCTTGACCTTGACCTTGACCTTGACCCTGACCATGTGTGTACTATATATATAGTCTCTATTATGTTTGTTAACAAGAGACATCTGATCTGAGCAGTGGCTACACTTGACTCGGTAGGTTTGGTTTGGTTTGGTTTTGTTGTAAATTATGGTAGCTCTAAGTAATTAAGTAAGTTGTACTGATTCTAGAGATTTCTTTCTTCCTCATGTATTGTATTATTGTATGTATGCTGTTTGTTCTCTTCTCTTCTCTTCTCTTCTCTTCTTTCTTTCATACTTGTATACTATAATAATACACATCATCTGCTACAACTGACTTGACTGGATTTTTATGCTTTCCTTGTTTGTCAAGGAATTTTTGTTAGTTTCCCACCTATTTTAGGTATTTCAACATTTGGTCAGTTTGTCATAAGCATTTACTGTAGATAGAGAGGGTACTAAATAAGTGACAACTACCCAAAAGCCTAGCCCTACAAAATATTTATATAGCCAACCACCTAATAAAATCTACACTTTTTAGATGTTTGACCTTCACCATTTCTCTTGGGATTTGTTTATTTTGGTACAAACTCAATTTTTTTTTTTTTGTTTATTAGCTCATCAGGTGCCAAAACTGACTGATTAGTTTATACGTTAACAAAATGCAATTAACAAAAAAACATTAGGTTGCAACTCATGGGTTTTTAGGATTAAAATATCAGTAAAATGGTAAATCGGCTTACATACATAAAAAATATTTTCAAATAAGTAAAATGATTTATTTAAGCTAATAAATATTTTTTTGTTTACTAGCATCCAAACACTCAAAAGTGCTTATCCACGATAGGAAAATACATTTAACTAACAAACACATCAAATAAAGCAATCTCCCAGTTAAATCTTCTAGGTTATTTTAGAAGGGCAATAGATACTAAAATAGTGTTTTAATTGCAAGAAAACATGTCTTATTGTAAGTGCTCATCAAGGAAGAGGTTTTGTTTTGACATTTATTTTAGAAATATTACTTAATAATAAATCATTAAAACTGATACTTGAAGTTAATAAGGGGATCGTTTGGTTGCATTTTTGTTTTAAAATCAAATAAGTTGTTGTTTGAGTATATAATATTCTCAACTTATAACAATATGAAAGAAGAAACTGTTTGTGTCCCTCATCAAGCAAGTACGTCGGAGTTTTAATATACTATTGGCTGTTTCCAAAAAGAAAGAAGAAAGAAAGAAGAAACTGTGAGTTTATCAAATGAGTATAACAGAAATAATAAATTAGCAACTGTATTTAATTTTGTTGTTAATGATATGAGATTAGATATGACTCCAGATAATCACTCATTCAACAATAAATAAAACTTGTTGAACCACCCAAACTTTAAGAACATTGGCATTAAACACGAATACAAAAGTATTTTATAATGAGAGATTTTGATTTTTGATTAAATGTGACTTGACTTGGTTCAGGATGGAAGGGACCAATTCCCAGATTTGAATTTCTTGTAGAAGCTCTTGGATCTTTTTGAAACAGCAAAAAACACTGCAGCCACCATTACCAGAAAAAGGAAACTAAATTAAAGATTAAAAATAAAATATGGAAGAACACAAAAAAGAAGTTGGGTTACAAACCAGGAATCCCAGGGATAACAAATTTGTCTTCTTTGAGAACCGAATGAAGGGTTCTTCTTTCGTTCACTTTCACCCATTTTGAACCACCTTCTCCCCCTAAAGTTGAATAATAATTACAAATCCAAACAGAAAACAGTTGTGACTATATTTTTCAGTCAAAATAAATAAATAAACATACCAACTGAAGGTGAAGGTTTAACTGCATCTGTTTCATCATCATCACCAAATGTCTCAAGATGGGAAGCAGCTGTACCCTGTAAGAAATTGCTAATAATTTCCTTCTTGGACAAACCTACCCCTGACCCCGCCTGCCCACCAAACCAAAGATGTTAAACAACAAAATCATAGTACGCAGGACAAGACCAAGACACAAGATCTAACCTCATAGTACAACTCAATGGCATCACGAGTGTAAGCACTCTCTTTATCCCATGGCAATGGTGCACCACTATCTGAGAACATGTTTTCAAGCGCTAAGGATTCCACTTAACAGAATTATTAAATAAATTGTTTTGTTTTGTTGTAAGAAAAAGGATATGAGGTCAAGGTGAGGTGAAAACATATCAGTCTCACAGAAGTCCTCAATGAAGTCGCTAGACATAACCTCTGCATAAAGGAGAATAACAGGCCAGTGAAGTATACGATCTTTATCTAATATCGGCTTTTTCAGTCCTGTTAATTCTTGGAACATTGCCTTTCCAATCTTCAATCCTCTCTCTTCAATTGCTGACACTAGATCCTACACATACATAATAAACTCATGTTACAGAAAGATTAACTTTTTAATTATATGAACATCAATCAACACCTTAGCTGCTGTCAAAGCTTTGGAAACTTGGGCCTCGTGTTGTTGGCGTTGTGATATTTGTGAATCAATCACCTCACATAGCTTCTTAAGTTCTACATTATCTGGATTCTCATCGACTCCTTTTACACAAAACCTTCGTGCTTCAACCAACTTATTCAAAGATAATGATGCTTTTGCTGCTCTGTAAAAAGCCTAACAACAAATACAGAAGAAGAATAAGATCATCATCCTATTAATGTCAAACTGAACTGTGTATACAAATACAAGTAGAAACAGAAAGGAGACTTTGACATTTGTTGGGGAAAGCTTGATGGCTTCCTCTGAATCTGAAAGAGCACGCCCATAATTTCCAACTTGTAGGTTTACATGTGCCCTATTAGAAAATATCATTGAGGTCTCCATGTCACTTAAGGCTTTCTGATTTATGGCCCTTGTATAGCAGTTGATAGCCTCTGAATAATGCTTCTTTCCCATCTTCACATACTTGTTACCTTCTTCCTGCATTCCCAATCAAAAAAATTACAACCAATTTGTTTTCCTCTTAGTTATCAAATCAGTTGCTGTGTTTTCACTTCATATTTGATCAAGAGTAATTAGAGTTAGCATCTAAAACATTATAACTACCTTACTAGATTAAACTTCTGGGATGAAAAACTGAAAACCTAAACCATATTTTTTTGATCTGATAAAGTACCGAGGGTTATTTTCTTCTCGTTACAGCTTTAAGATCAATCCAAACATACAATTAACCCAAACAATCAAATTCGTTAACCAGGATAATAAGAAAGCAGATGCTGGAGCTAAACTTGTTGTATTCAAATAACTAGAGAAATGGAGAC